GCTGTTTCTCATGCCACTCGCTCATTTTTTCTAGGGACAGGAAGCAGTAATCGAATGCTCTTCAATAGGAGGAAACCCCCTCTCTATGAAGTTTTCAAAAACTGTGAACGGAGTTAACAGTAGAATTCCAAATGAAGAAGTCCGTTGTTTTCTTCCTCATTCTGTAATATTCTGTAATTTTTCAGAAACTTCGATCTCAATTCTTAGATTCTAAGAGTGTTTACCAAGAGGGAAATCTATTCTGTACGGGTACTATCTTGTTAACAAATAATACGGTATTCTTTGATAATCATCCTTAACATATTGGCTTATTTTAAGTTATTCGATGTTAACCTGAATACTCCATACTTCACTGCTGGCACATTTGGCAGTACCTCAGCAACAGGTGAAAAGAGACACGTATGAGGTTAACAAATTCATATGGTTTTCAGGTCTCACCAAGTATGATACCAGATGTGTTCCTGTATACGCTGCTAAGCTTTCTCAGAACAACGTTAGTTTTATCATGATTTTTGTGATTCCTATATTTCTTTTACAGGCAAACGAAAACAGAGACAAATGTGGTGTTGATAAAGGTTGTTTCGTACCTCAATGCTATGAAGGATGCAATGGAATGTCTTTCAATTATAAAGTTTTGGACGATAACACTACTATGATCGTTGAATTAACGAGAGCTGGAAATTCTCCCAACACATATGTGGCTGTAGGCTTTTCTCTTGATGTTATGATGGTAGTTTATAATCTAAATGCTTCTCACATATAATACTTTAGGGTGACGAAAGTGTTATTGAGTGTTCTGATATGGGTGATGGGTATTCCGTAAAATTCTCGTACAACGAAGGATCATCTCCTCCAAAAAATGTTCGAATCGCGTCTGAAGAAGTCTACACTGCTATCGTATATCTTTTAAAAACTTTTTTTAAAGAAATATCGCGCTGCACTGATTTCCCAACAGGTGCAAATTCAATCTGACGGAACTCTATATTGTTCGGCTACAGTGTCCCTTAAAGGAGATTCCAATGAACCCAGGGTTAGTAATCAAAACTTTAAGTTTGAAATCCTTGACATTTATAGGTTTTCAAATACGATCCAACCCAAGCTTATTATTTCTTATTGGCTAGTGGAGAAACAAAACAAGGAGGTATATCATCAATATTCTATTTTCAACTTAATTTTTCATTTCAGTTCTGCGAGTTCATGACCATACGGCTGTTGCTGATCAATCTGTGCTTCTAACACAGAAGATGACTATTGTGAGTTTCATTTTCACCGTTCCAAGTGACTTTTCGGTTGTTCTCCCATAACAATGATCGAATTAAGACACCGGAGGCCTTCGACTGTTCCAGCTGTGGAGTCACGAAAGGATGTTATTTCCCCGAAGGAAACGGAAACGACTGTAATGGACATGGTTTCAGCTACTCGGTATCTTATTTAACATATTTTTTTCAAATATGATTTGATCTATCAGTGGATTAACAACAGTCACCTAATGGACGTAGAGCTTGTTTTGACTCCAGCTACAGGTTTCGGATACGTTGCGATTGGGTTTTCTGACGATGGAGCAATGGTTCATTTGGATCTTTTCATGTATCATTAAATTACTCTTGATCTTAAAGGGAAACGAATCTGTGATCGAATGCTCACAACTACCTGGTCAAACTTATTCTATGAAGTTTTCATATAATAATGAACAACGTAAGAATGTCCGAATCAACGGAGAAGAGGTTTCAAATACTTTTTTTTCTTCATCAGTCCTTGTTTTTTTTTTTTAGAAAATACGAGCTACTTATATAACTTCAACCTCGTACAGCGAGAGAGATGGGTATGTTTACTGCAAAGGACAAGTCAGAGTTGATGGCAACCAAAATAAAGAAGTTGGTTATTTCTGCAAACTACATTCAATCTTACTGTTTCCAGATATTCCAATATAACCCCAGCCAACCCTATTACTTATTATTAGCACGAGGAGTAACTTCGGACAGTGGTGAACAATTTTGTGTTAAATAATATTGAACACTTTTTCGAATTCAGGGTTGACTTATCACACTCGTGCAGGACGATTTGTGACTGATCAAGCTCGTAATCTACAAAACTATACAGTACCTGCTTCTCCAACGGTTCGTTCTAAACTTCATAAGAACTAGTATGAACTATGCTTTTTTTCAGAATCCACCTGCTCCTTCTGGAATTAATTGTGGTGAATGTACCAAAAGCTATGGATGTTATTTCCCTGATGATTCTAACGGCTGTACTGGAAAAGGAATCACATACAAGGTTGCTTTTTCCAAGCTGAAGTGATAAACTGGTGGTTTTAAGTTGATCAATGATAGTTATTTGCATCTTCAAATGGTTGCTCCTTCCTCATTCAAATATATCGCTCTAGGATTTTCCGATGATGATAAGATGGTATTGTTTTCCCTGCTTCTCATCTGAACACTTACTCTAGGGAGACGATAATGTTATTGAATGTTCATCTATAGGATCAGCAGGTTATTCTATGAAGTTCTCTTACAACCAGAAATCTGCCAAGTATAATATACGTATCGACAACGAAGAGGTTCGGTGTTTAAATAGTTTCTTCATGAGTTTATCGTTTGAGACTATTGAGTCCACATACTTCACAGACGTTGTAACTAAGAATGAGGATGGAATCCTCTACTGTTCTGGAACTGTTCGAATCAATGGATGGGATAAGGACTCAAGAGTTGGTTTTTGAGAAATAAAGTGAAAGCTATCCGACTCTTTCTAAGGTGTTCCACTATACTCATGGTGCCAAGTATCATTTACTGCTGGCTGCCGGTCCAACAACATCACAAGGTGAACTTTCTTCCTCTCACGTTAACCAATATATGCATTTTAGGCTTGGCAAGTCATTCAAACAACAAAGCTGTAAGTGGTATAGTAGATATATCAAGCACAGCGAAAATCAAGGGAATGTCTGAAAAAACTAAACATAGCCTAATATTAGCTCATGGTTTATCCTTTTCTGCTTCAATACATTTTTTACCCATTTTCTAGCCATGCTCATGATCCTCTCTTGGTGCTGCTTTGTTCCTACAGCTTTGGTATTTGCTAGGTTCCTCAGAAATTCATGGCCTTTAGTTAAACCAGGAGGACTATTAATATGGTTCCATGTATGTTTGAACCTCTAAGTTATTAAAATCAATCAGAGCTTCAGGTTCACAGAACTGCCAATTTGTTAGGAATTCTTTGTATGATAGCGTCTTTTGCGTGCATCTTAACAGCAAACAGCTGGAAATGGACTGGACCAGGTTACTAGTTAAGATGAGAAACATGCCTCAAATATCTTTATTCAGGATCCTCTTCAAGTAAATGGGGACAAGCGCATACGATGACTGGCTTGCTCGCTTTGATTCTAGCTTGGATGCAACCTTTCATCAGTACAATGAGGTGATTGAAAACATTTTGAACTAATCAAACCAAACAATTTTTTAGATGCTCTCCCAGTACCCCTAACAGATACATATTCAACTGGATTCATAGAGGAATAGGAGTCTTGTCTTACACGTTGGCTAGTAAGTTTTATTTTGGTTTGAAGTCTAGAAAACAAAGCCTTCGCATATCAAAAATTATTAAAATGAAAAAGTACTGGTAGCTCAAAATCTGAAATCATTTCAGCTACCGCCTTGTCAATCGCTGCTTTCCATTTCACATCGCTATGGACCAACACAGCGCTTCAACTGTCTCTCTCCCTAATTCCTCTATTCCTCATATTAGTTTTATGTGTTATCATGCCAGTCATTGCATCGAACCTCAGTGAAGAAGCTGTAAGTCATCATTAATTATGGAAATATCCTGTAATCTTTCTTTTCAGATCCAGAAATGGCGTGAGAGAATAGTCTTCGTCTTTTTAGCTTTAACAGTGGCAGTATCAATAACTTTATGTATTTTAGTAGGAGTAAACTGATACTCTGCCACAGGCTCCTTTCGGTCGACCATGAGCTTTCTCTGAATAATTTCAATTCTAACCGTGAACATTTAATTTATTGTTTAAGACCTAATTGAACTATAGTCGAATACTGTTTTTGTTCGGAAAAATGAAAGTTCAAATATATCAAATGCTTTTTCTATGTTTCTTAACCAAATAATGATGAGATACACAATGAACAAAGACCAAGAATGATTCTGGTTTATACTGGAGGTACTTCGTTCTAAGTAATTCGTCAATCACTTCTATAGCATTACAACTTTTTCTGGTAGAAGCGTCCTAACGGAATATTCTGACCATCTGCATGTAATTTTCATTCAAAATGTCTGTGTTTTGCAGATTTATGCATTCTCTCGCTTTCGAGTATCGATATGATCAACTGTCAACCAAGTCTTATCACAAGCTTGAATTCAACTGTTATCTCTGAACTTTGATATGTTAACGTGCCGTTGGACAAAAATGGGTAAAAGCTGAATGGATATTTCCGTATTTGCAGCACCTTGTCGTACACTTTATAAGGCCCAATCAAAGTCTTTGAAGTGATATGGAAAAAAACAATGAAGAGATCGCGCGTCTTTTTGTCCATTCATCAACATCCTCGTTTTTCTCTTTGTCTCTTGCTCCTTCTCCACTCAAACCTCTTTTATCCTTTTCCCAGAGATTGTTCATAAAGGAACTTAAATTTCTGAACAAAAGGGTCACAGTATCATTGACCAGCAACTGTATCTCTTACTCACTCAGTCCCACATTTCCATAATCTTCTTTCAGCCATTATTTTACTTTTGTCATTGTGTTCTATTTGTATTTTGTAGTAAACGGAAGCAAAAGCTTTCATTTGATGTTTCGTCTCAAAACAAAGCGTCTTCAGAAAGTTTTCGTTTCCTTCTCATCTAAAAATCAGAAATGTGATACACACACATACATACATCGCTTTTTTTTGTGTGTGAAGACTATCTGCCGATCTCAAAACGATTGAATGATTCACTCAGCCTATTATTAGATTTCAACATTTTCTTTATTTAGGAAACAGTTGCAAGTGGACATATTCACAATGAAAACAGGAATTCTTCTCTCAATCTTCCTAATTTTACCTTTCCTGCTCAATGCTGTAAGTTTTTGGAAGTTATTTATAGATGGCTTCAAAACTTCTAATCATTTTGTTGCTACCTACAGTTGAAGTTAAAAATACCTTCCTTATCAGTTTTTGGGTAAAACAAACGCAAAGAATGTCGCGAAGCTTGAATATCTACAAAAGTTGTACTGAACACAGTAAGGTTGGAATGAGATTAATAAATAGAGAGAATGAGAGAGAGAGAAAGAGGGAGAGGGAGTGAAATAATATGAAAAGAATTAGCAGGATGGAAGAGAGAGAAATGGAGTGACGAGAACATTGTAGATCTGTCTTTCGAACGCTTCTACATGAAAACAATCATAGTTCATTTCTAGATCATCGGTACTTTCCGGCTACAGTTAGAGTTGATCTTAAAAAAATTCTTTACAAAAAGATTTCCAGATCTTAAATTTGTTCTGAAATGCAATGTTTTTTTTTTTGCGAGATCGCTCTTACCGTATGTCTGAAGAAACATCAGAAACTGTAATTGTTGTAATTTAAACATACAGAATAAAAAAAATATTTTTTGAAATCCACATTGAAAACAAATAATTTTTTAAGGAAACTGTTGTTGAAGAAAAAAATGTGACAACAGTTTTTCATGCGCCTGCTTACACCTACACTCTGCCCCTCGATACTCGTCATACTTTGAACAAAATTCATGGTGCGTTATATGAGAAGAAAAACATGATTAGGAGGCAACTATTTTAGGAATTCTTATGGTTTTGTCATGGATTTTCTTCATTCCATCGGCTTTTCTTTTTGCTCGTATGCTTCGAGATTCGTTTGCTGACAAGAAACCGTTTGGACTTGCCATATGGTTCCATGTAAGTTTCAATGTAGCTCAGCCGCAGTTGAATGTGAAACAATATGTGTATTCAAAAAAGTTTTTCCATAACCCCAGTTTGTCTTCTTTAACTATTCGACAAGGTTTTGAAGACCATGAAGTGTCGTCACATATGAAGGTCTTTCCTCCTTTCTTCCTTTCTCTTTTCCACTTTATATTTCTTTTTTTACTCTCATTTCGCATCCATTCTTTCGCTACCGCATTCGAGAACTGGCATTGTGACCGGATGATGATCGCACAAATACCAAAAAGAAAAAAAAATTGAAGACACACCCATGTCAACGGTCATGTGCCGCCGTAATTGGAATGAAATAGAAAGTTTCACTGAGATTTGGTTGAAATTGTGAGGAAAAGGGAATAAACAATGAGCTTTGTGTTTACAGGTTCATCGCACGTTTAACTATATAGGACTATTCCTTATGGTTGCCTCTATTCTAGTAATTTTCATTTCGAAAGATTGGCGATGGATGGGACCAGGTAGGGAACAACATGAATCATTTTGAAATAAAATTCATAACAAGCTTATATTACAAGTTTTCATTGATGTGATTTATAGGTTCACATGCATCATCAGCAAAACAAGTGCACACGATTACCGGAGTGATCTCAACCGCTTTGGCCGTTGCCCAACCTATTCTGTCCTTATTTAGGTAAAAAAATGTGCTTAAACACATTAGAAAATAAGTTTATTTTCTAATCTATCAAAACATGGGAGAATTAAATAATTGTCCTTCTAGATGTCCTGCCAACCATAGCCAAAGATCTCTGTTCAATTGGTCTCATCGCCTTATCGGTATTATATCATTTATCCTAGCTAGTGAGTTTCATTTTCCAATTGGAAAACTCCAGTCCCCCATTTTCTTTTACACATCTACTAACCCTGTGGCAACGGTTAACTGAAAATGATACCAAAGATTTCTTTTCAAGAGTACATATAATCAAGAGACTGTAATTATTTAATGAAGTGACGATGTAAAAAAGTGACACCACGCGACACTTTTGGCAATGTAGAGAAAATAGAATAAAGAGAGAAATATAGAGTGAGAGACAGTAATAGAGTGAGAGGAATAGGAAGAGATTGAGAGAGGTTGAGAGACGAGTATGCAACTGTTCTTTGCTTAATCATACATTGAAATGATTCGCATAACGTAAGCTGCACGTAACCTCCACGTGAAATAGGAATGCGATAATAAATTATGCTAATGACCCCGCATTCAAGAATGACCGACTCATCGGTTGTATGGTTAATTCAAGTATAAGAAAAGGAAAGCTAAATGGCTAGTTTTTCTTTCAGTTCTTTCTCATCATTCTTATCGCATTGAATAGGAGAAAAAAGCAACAAGTGATTCACTAGTCTTCGGTCATCCAGCTGAATGGCAGTTCGATCCTAATCGATCACTTCATAAACTTTAAAGTTATTTCACCCAACTTTCGATTCTACTTCTATACCAGCTGTTGAAATGAGAAGATTATTCCTTTTTAACTGTTTTGCACATTTCAACTGCGGCCCATATGACTTCGAAAAAAGATGAAGTCAAGAAAAAAAATGTGGCCTCGAGGTCATACATGATCCAGAAGAGCAACAGAATTGTTGAGCCTTTGGTGAAATATCGAACGAGGACGTCGAACCGAATTAGGCAACTGGTATGACGAGAATCACGAGTCCAATAATTCGTTGGAACATTTGAATTCGAAAGTATTTTGTGAACTTGCTAGAACGATGGAATGTTATGGAATTTTGAGCCATAGTTTTATTATCTTTTTTTTGACACCATAAAAAGAGATTAAGCAATCACCACGTGTAACAATAAAATGGGTTATGTAGCTTGAAGAAATGCAGGTTGCGAGGACATGTTGTAAATATGTTGCAGCTGCTAACTGTTACCAATCGCAGAAAGGAAGAACAATAGTCTTTAGGGGGTCACGTATGTTAAAGACTATTGAAATTCATGACTAGAGATTGAGAGAAAATGCGAAAGTGTAAAGTGGACCGTAAATGGCATTATCCGAAACAGACCTGTACAAAGAGAGAGAAAGAAACAAAAGCGAAGAGAGAAAGCCCGCGTACCAACAATGTTTGAAGCATGTAAGCGAACAGTAAAATTTCAAATGCAAAATCAGACAAAAGACTACTGCAAAACAGTATTGCCGCAGGCGGGTTCAATTCATTTTCCCTCAAGGCCATTTGGTACAAACTTATATGTGAAAAAAATGACCTTTGAAGAATAAAATAAATTCATTTTTTTCTTTCTAGCTGTTGCCCTCGTTATTGCCGCTCTGGATTTCAAAATGTGGAAGAATCGTGCGCTTCAAGGAATTCTCATGATTGCTCCGACAGCACTACTGATTGTACTGTCAGTAGCTTCCGTTATGTTCCGCAAGTCCAGTAACGCTAGCAAACAAGAATCTGTTAGTGCAATGATATAGTAACAGTTGAAGCTGATATTTTACAGAGATACTCCCTCAGAGTTTCATTGGCTAGCTGGGGCATGGGAATACTGTTGGCTAACACAATTGTTCTTTGCATTTTAATTGGCCAAGGATACGCAAAGCCATAAAACTAGAGAAGAAAGAACTAGTGACAAATGATCTGAACATAAGAAAGCGAAAATCTCATTGTATAAACTTTATATCATTAATACTAATATAATACATCACACACTCGTGTTATAAGAAAAGGCAGAAATGATATGAGCAGAATGCCAACATAAGTGAACAATTATTAAGTAAAATTAAAGCACCCTTTTTACAATTAACAATCATACGAGAGATATCGACCGGTTAATTAAAGATAAACTCTCTTACTTCTCATGAGAATGAAACCAGGAGTTTGGACTCCGCTAAACAAACTACAATGCAACTACTTTAGCTAGTAAGCTTTCTTTTCAAAGGATAATATGTGAAACGATCAAGCAAAGTCACGATAAGTAAAACTTGTCTTATACCAGATCAAATGATAGGTGTGAAGAAAACGGCCTGATCAAGAGATCAGAGAACCTGAGTTAAGATTTGTAATAAAAGTAAGTCAAGTTGTATAACAAAATAACTAACTAACTATATAAACGTTATAAAAATAAGTTTACTTGACTCCAGCAGCTTTCATATTATTCATGTCAATGACATATTTCCACACAGCTTGGATATCGGCTGGATTTAAAGCTGTCATCTGATTTTTTGTGTTTTCCATATTTCTTAAACTGCTTAGTGACTTCTCGGCATATCTATAATCACGATATAAGCTAACTCATACACGTTTTGCCTACTTCATCATAGTGTTTAAGACTGTCACAAAAGCCGGAGTGCCGAAGCCATGAGTACACAAAGAGAAATGTGTTAAGCCATCTTGCACTCTCTCTGGCAGAATGGGGAGAAGGCTGTTCAAAAAAACTGGAGCACGATCTTGTCGCAGAGTTGAGAGCAAGTTACTTAAGACTCTCCTGAAAAAACCATATATTGAAAAAACATTTGTATGTTACAATAACTAACACTGTGCCTTCAAGATCCCTTTTATTTCTTTCTGCATCTTCAGTCTCTTTTTGTTGAACATATTCTGATAATATGTCAACTGGGAACTCAGTTTCGCAGAGGAAATCAAAATCTTTAGCCAGGTGCGTAGCTTCTCCTAGAAAAAATAAAATAGAACCCCGAAATACAGTGTTGATGAGGTACTGGAGAGGCTAGGACGAGGTTATGAGATGAAAGACATTTTTTTTGCGGAAGAAGACAAACATCTTGCACACACATACTCAGAGCAGAGGGTGACAATGATAAAGAGAAGAAAAGATGGTAGTAGTGTCAACATACCTTCAACCATTGCTGTGAATAACGTCATGTGAAAAGCTTTCCGTTTGCCTGCAGGCAGATCAAGACCAATTTGCTCCAACTGATCACGAAGTTCTTTCCCACCATTTTTCGACTTGGCTCGTCGTAAAACACCACCCAATATGGAGGCATTTAACCGTTCGGGATTACCTAGTCTTCGCCGGATCTGAAACATGAAAATAACTAGAAATCCTTTTAAAAACATCATGTAATCATCCGTATAAGATACCAAATGCTCCCCCACCAACCCTGATCATTCCTCTTAACCTCTCACTAACTTAACCCATCATGATTTACCACGAATGCCTGCTGTGGTCTCTATTCTACTCCTCTTTTTTCAACAGTCTCTCCAATTTTCGTCTCTCTCTCAGGCAAAATATGGCTGCTACGCGACCTCTGCGGCCATACAAAAACAAAGAGAAAGGGGCAACGGCTGAGTGAGAGACAGAAGGAAATACAGATACAGAGAAGAACAGACCTCTCTATGACTGTTCCTTCTATCATCGTCTCTTTTCTCTCGTGACCCTCTCCCCGCAGGCACAATACCGATCGTCCTTCCTAGCGGCATGCCAAGCACACATTGCCTATTGATTAGTCAAACAACCAGTTGATGATGAGAACACAACTTCAAGAAACTTTACCATCCGAAAGTCGAGAGCGTAGGATAACTAGAACTGAACCTAGTCTATTCAAGCTCTTTGAATTCAAAAATTTTGAAAACGCCCATTAAATATGAGAAAAAAACTAACCTCATTAATCGTTACAGGATACTTGCTATTATTGTTTAATAGCGCCAAACGTCCGGGAACTTGACAGAAAATAGATTCATCTCTTACAGAAAAAACAGGAGAGGGCTCTGCTGTGCTCAGAGCACTTAAACTTAACATAGAGTCCTCTGTTTCAGTGGCTATCGAAAAGGAATCTTCGTTTTCAGTTTTGATGGAGAGTGAAGACTAAAAAGGGAAACATGATAAACATTATACGGTAAACAATAAAAACAGAAAGTTTTCTTCTACGAACCTCTGGTGATAAACGCGCCCGTTTTGGTTGTGTCTCTTCCGGTGAAGCTGGTCTTTTTCCGGGTACAGAAGCCGGTGTTGGGTTTAGTGGAAAATGGGAACTCAAAAGAAGATTAAGAGCATCGCTTGATAACGGAACTCTGTCAGCTTTTGGAAGCGATCCTTGGCTGATCATTTTTCCGTTCAATGTCTCTTTGAGTAACAATGACTTGAGATCAGTGACTGTTTTAGATGACTCAATAGGAGTTGATCTTCCAGAACTTCCATTTGAAACCATTGAAGTAGTAGTTGCACAAGGAATAGCTGGCGATGGGATAGATGAGGAAAGAGCAGACGAAGATATTACAGTGGGACTATGTGTTCCAGTCTTAACTACATGCCCTTCTGCGGCTGCTCTTTCAGCAAGTTGCACGCTGATGCGGTCGATCAGCGACAATTTGCTCGCCATTATTAAGGTTCAGACTGAAAGAAAATAAGAGAGTGCAAAATTGAAACTTATAAACTGTAAACTTCACAAAGAGAAAGCAGAATTAAGAAAACAATGATAAAAAGATAAAAGCAAAAGAACACAACCAAAGAAAACTGTAAAACGTGACGATGAGAGGGAGAGAAAGAGAGAATTGGAATGACAAAAAGAGAAAACGAATAGTACATCATGAAGACACAGGTACAAGCACTGTTTCAAAAGACTTTAAAAAGACGCTGCAAACAATGAAGTTGATATGTATGCCTCTAGGAAGAAAGATTGGTAGAAAACTTGGAAGATTAGGGGAAGGGAGACGAGCAACTTCCAAGTTTCTTCATTTTTTTGCCGCATCTATCTTCCGGTATGAGATTTCAAAATAGAGAAAATGAAAAGTCATAGATCGGAAATAACTGTGCTAACGTTATATCAGGAGATAAGATGGAAAAAAAATCAGAGATGACGAGTTGGATACAATTTAAAAAATAAAATCGTTTGAAGCCGATATCTTTAAAAAATAGCTCCAAGATAGTATGCATGCAAGTCAATGAGCGTCGTCTGCTGTGTGCCAGAGTGAGAGTGATGGTGGCAATGCCCTCGAACGGTAATGCCGACAGTGCCCGCGAGGCAAGAGACAGAGTACACACAACAAGAAAATCCCGAAAAGACTGTTACAGGTCATGAGTCGCAGACAGAGGTCGGAGGGCGTACAGTTAGGGACGCAGGGTCGGCCCGAGGGAGACACTGTCAGACCGACCGAATAATTAGCCCTGCCCCCTTGCGCCTCGTCGCTTCTGTCGACCATTACCTCGGTTCTTTTCCTTTTTTAGTTCCTTCAAGGCAGCACAAGATAGTAGATGGGGCAAATGAAAAACGGAGGCCATCACATAACTGAGATCATGCCTCAGTATATCGATTGATTGAATGGTAACCGCAGGATATGCTCATGAACGCCTAAGGCGATTTGCACATATTTTTTTTAGATAATCGTTCCATATAGAACAAAAAGTTCTCTATCATTGTCAAAGTTCGCCATTCTAATATTCACATCTCTCTCTCTCTCCCTTTCTCTCTGTTAGGTACATGATAGATGAAGTAAAAAATGAGAGCGATGTGAAGGAAGAACCTACAGAGATGATCACATAAGAACCGGAATTTGAAAATTCTTTGAAAAATTGCGTATACAATTCATTTGGCGCCGTTTCCCACAAGTCATGAGGAGAGCTTAAGAGTTATTTCCGGATCAAAAAGCTAACCTTTTTTAGAAACATCTTTGGTTCAGTTTGATTGAAAATCTCAGCGAAATGCAACTGAACTGTTATACTTCAGTATATAAAGCAGATGTGTGAACGAAAAAAGAAATTTGAAAAATAAAAACGGAGCAAAATTCCATCAGATTTTTTTTAAAGTTAAGTTGTAGCCTATGCGTGCCTTGTTTGTAAGGTCAACAATTGCTGACCTTTGTCTAGCTGCATAGTTTATCTGATTTACTTTCCTGAGTGCCATAGGAAGTGAAAAAAATGAGGATAGGCATAGAATAAGAAGAGTTCTAAGAGAAAAGAGAAATATCTGAAGGGAGAAAAGAAAATTACCCGGCGCATATGGTGCGACTATTTTCAATTCACGTTATTGTTTTACAGTTTAGAGATCTAACCCGACCATATTTATGAGATAATCGCTAAACGGCTGAAAGAGGGAAGTTTCAAGAAATCATAAGATAGTTTCTGCCATCACTGAATGTTTACCATATTCTGTTAACTAGATGACCGAATTCAGAAAACTGATTTGAAATCTAATGTCTGATCGCTCAATTTTACTATTTTTTCAGAATCTCTCTCTCTCTGTCTATATCTGTGATAAACAATAACAAAAGGATCCGCGCATCTACATAGAGCATGAACTTGCTGGTTTCGTGAAGTAAGAAGTGTGAATGACCTTTCATAACCACAGGACCCTTTATCAAGTAATTTTCACATTCGAAGTTCCAAACTGTTTTCTTGTTCCTCAAAAAAGCGTAACTAGAATATTTACAGTAAAAGGTAATTCTATTGATATGAACCAAAATTCCTTGTGACCCAGAGTTCTCTAACATCGATCTCTCTTGACCTTTTTGTTTCCGTGCCCTCCTTGTAACCCGTAATCGTCCTCACCCTCTCTCTCCCTCAACAAAAAAAAGCTGCCAATAACCGGAAATTAAGAGGTAACTGAAACATTTAATAAGTTACCAGATGAATTTGTTATGATTCATTTTAATAATTAAGTATATCAGAATCATAAAAAGCCGATTTGTCACGTCGAATCGCTTACATATTCCACCCGACTATGCCCTAAGGTAATTTGTATTTCTCGAAGAAATAAATATTTAAATTCTTTTTTTTTTGTTGAAAAGAATGAATTAGTTGGTTAAATGGACTCACCGCACTCCAGATTGACGGTTAGTTCTTTCAATTCTTCAACTCTAATTATAGATGTTGTTCCGAAACTTAAATTATATGGAAGTATGCTTTGTTCGAGCAAAAAGGAGAAGCCCTTATGATTTTACCTACAAGGAAGTTGTTATTTTTAATTAATTTTTCTCTGTTACAAACATAAAGCCGATCTTGATTGGATACTGCATATGATTTCGAATGAAAATATCTTAACAAAGATCAAATTTTAAAATGAATATCATAATTAAACAATGATTGATCAATGGTGTTATGTTCAAATGAAATCTTACTTGCTGAATTCCAATCATGTTTGCTAATCTTTCATTTGATTCCCTTTTTTATTTTTCTCAAATATTAGAAATAAGAGAAACTTATGAACATTTGTAGTTAAATGAAATTAACCCAATGGTTATGATGCCACGTCAGTTCACGCGTCATTTGCATATCTCACGTACCAGCTATAACGTGAGAAGTCTTCGAAGCTTACGCTTTCACATGTCCAACTTCTAATTCACGCGGAACTCAGAACTTTGATCTTTTTTTTTCTCTTTTTTTTCTGTTCTATTCTTCGTGGATAATCCATAGGCTCGTCTCATGCTTCAGATTCCCATGTAATAATTAAAGTTCCTTCGACCATATCATATATGGTCTGCCCAAAAGTATTTTTAGACTTTGATTCTTCTTTTTACCGACCACATAATGAAGATAATATTTGTTTATAATCATTATAATTATGGATAAATAACGTCATTGACACGGTTTTTCATCTGCTGTTGCCAAAATGAGATTTCAAACGGAACACTCAACTGACAATTAATTCAAACAAAAATATTTTTCTATTTTTATCATCTGAGACATGAGAGGTGAATTTAAATTAATTTTTTATTATAACATACACAGACACAAAAAAGAAATAATTAACGAAAATATGGCAACAACAACAAGTATGAGGAGAAAGTGAGAGAAAGAGAGAGAGCGTTGACACGTGAGAAGAGTTCCCCCCATCCCTTCGTCTTGCCTGAGGGCAAAGTTCAATAAATTGGAAAATTATATATAAATATAAAGTATATGTATATATATCTATATGTATTTGAATGATTAATAACATTAAGATATGCAAATGAAGGCATTCTTTTGATAATCCATATCCACTTGTGTGATATGAATTCATCATGAATCGCCTTATTATTAAAAATAGATTTATTAAATAATAAATAATAAGTATAACTCATGATCAACATGACCATTCAGTATGAACATATATGAAAGTTAGATGTTAACTTCATTCATAATATATCAAAAAACATCTGCTAATTAAGCTTTTTTTTATTTTATTAATTTAAAAACTTTTTTTTTTGCAAATTTAAAATGAATTATTGACATTTCTTTCATTTTACAAATCATTCAAGCAATGATCTCAAAATGTATTTGTAATTCCTCATTCTCTCTCTCTCTCTCTCTCTCTCTCTCTCTCTCTCTCTCTCTTCATTCTTCTTTACCACCAGTTTGCCTCTAATTCAGATAAACGGTTGATGATTTTGCAAGCCGAAGCATTCAGAGCATCATTTGCTGTATAAAATTAAAATTTATTTGTCTTTTTTCTCCTTCCTACTCAAAACTAACAAAAAGAGAATACTCTTTCTTTTAAAAAGACTTTTCTGCTATTCTAAAGCTTGTTGTTTAGTTTATAACTCGTGCTTTTACTTATTTCTTACGTTTCTTTCCCAATCTTTTCTATTTATTTATCCTGTATAAAGAGTTCTCCATACATTAGCTTCTTCTCAGCTTTTCCGAATAACTTATGAGAATTCAGAGACCAAAAACGGATTCTCTCTATTGAACTTACATGTTTAAAAAATGAAATCTGATGACTATTCTAAAAAAAGAAAAACTTTTTTTGAAAAAACCAATGAGTTAGGCAAAAGAATATGTCACCGACATCGTCTTCTTCTCGGAAATGAAACTCATCGGGAAATAGATGAACGATGGCAAAGCAAGCGATCCGCTCCGTATCAAATTCCGAAATCTGATTTACGTGGAGGTTCACGTGAAAGACATGTATGAAAGATGACGATGCGTACCCTTTTCATCAGGATTATCTCAAAAATTCACAAACACTCTTCTTACATCGCAAATTTCTAAGCAAAAGCTGTCAAAATGGGTGAAGATCTCATATGAAATTCAGCTCGTCTGCGAAACTTCTATTGGAGACTTCCTTTCCAGCCTTAACAACGTGAATTTGTCTCAGAATATGTCATTGGGCGGGTCAAAAATTAGCATTTTCCAGACCGATTTCATTTTTTCTGCTCTTCACGTTAGATATGGTAATGACGCTTCATTTACGTAAATGAACGATGTGAATATTTCAAGAAAAAGCCCACAAAAATCTCTTGAAATCACTTGGAAAACGATGTTGTTCATTGGCGAGTAGAGAGTTGCCATTTGGTTTATTTACGATTAATTATGTGCTTTCTCTACTACAAAGAAGCATAAGCGACATCAAAAGAGAAGACATAGATATGGAGGAGCAAAGTGAGAGAGAGAGACAGACAGACTAAGATGAGAAGGTGGAGAGTGGAAGAGAGAGAAAGAGAAAGAGAAAGAAGATGGAAAGCTTTTATTATTCGAAAACTAGTCATTCCTGAGATTATTTATTCATATTTCATTTTGTTAAGGGAAGTATAAAGAGATATCTATTTCACACCAATCCCATTACATGTATTGTATGTTGAAATATAAAAAAGAGCTGAACGAAGATATCTGAAAGCTCTCTTGACCAACAAGCTTCTATAGCTTCTCATTATTCACATCAGAAGGCTTCATTTTTCTTATTCAAAACTTCCCAAAGTATCTGCCAATATTTCTTTTCGTTTATCATCTATTTGAGCAGCTTGCTAATGAGCAAGATGTCCTCCATTCATGCTCATCCGACATCAGGATGTACTTTTCTCTACAGCTTCTCAAGCTGTTCTTACCTAATCAGTGGTTTGTCTCTTCTTCAAATATTTTCAAAAGGAAATTATCAGACGCTTCGGTTGGATTCATAAGAATTGCAATGTAATCAGGGCATATGCCCTCTGTGAAACGGCAAGGAAACAGAAAGACAATCTGATCGGAACAATAAAACTTCATCAAATATTCGTCTTAACTATTATATTTAAAGTGAATAAAGTGAAGGAGGCAAATGGGAGAATACAAGTGATTATAAATTAAAAAAGCTCTGAAACTACTAAATTGGAAAAAAAACAGTGAAAAGTTGGTGTGTGGGATGTGGGTCTTCTGACATCATGAAACATCCTATAGTTTTCTATTTTCTCTCGAAATGTTTATATCTTTCGCTCTATTCTTTAGTTGTTTGCAAAAATTGAAAATTAGATTTTAATTTTAATTATACAAGTGCCGATGATCTTCGGGAAGTTAACTTCAATTGCTTATACCATTGCTACAATTTGCTTCCCTTCAGAACGACTTCTTCTATTGTCATCATCATCATGTTCTTCTCTCTTTTTTCTCAAAAGGTGTAGGCATGGAGGAAAGACTCTTTCAAGCATTTTTAGTTTGTAATTACGTATAAATCATTTGGTTTCATATTCTTTTCCAATCTTCTTTATAATAATCTTGGATATTTTCCTGTCTGGGTGTTGTATAGCTCCTCATTAGGCGAACGCTTAGTCCATCTATGAATCTTTCATCTCTAATTCTTCTTCTTCTCTCTTTCTCTCCTATTCTCTTCCTTTCTCTCTCTCTTTCAATTTCTCTTTTTACAATTGGGAGAAGCGAATATTCATTTCCTACATGAGCTATATGCATAAAGATAATAGTTCAACTATCATGAAGATGAACGATGAAGAGTTTTCCGATTTTCTCGAAGCATGCGAAACCCAGACAGCTTCTGAACGTATGACTCTCGTGATTTCTCCCCATGCAAAGAAAACATTCAATTAGAATAAAATGAAAAGAGAGAGAGAAATATGTATATAAAGATGTATGATGCCTCCTTAGCATAATGAAGCCAAATGGCTATTGAGTAACAAACCTTATGATAAGACTAAGATGAACGTTTCCATCTCTGCCTGGTGATTCGCCCCCCAACACTTCTGATGCACTCTTCATGAATTAGAAAATCTGATGTCTTCATTCATCTCTGTTTTACCCACCATCCATTCTATATATGTATCTGAGAAATTTCAAAAATCGTTTTCTATTCCGATTCATGAAACTGAGATTGGCTTGTCACTTACATGTGGCTTCTTCTTCTTCTTCTGCTCCTTGTTTGCATGAAATCCCTCATAATGACTTATCAGATGATCAGTTTCGTTCTCATTCAAACATTTTTGAGGTTTCAGATGAGCAAAAAAGATCTCAACAGGAAAGAAGCGATTTGAGCTAGAGCAGGAACTTTTTACGTAAAAAATAAATAATTTCTCAAACGTTTTGTGCAGAAGTGAGAAAGTCCATTTGAAAGTTCATCATAATTCTCCATTTTTTATATCTTTAATTATGAAAGGTTTTTGATTTGTTTCCAAACTCTGTCAACAACGAAAAAATAAGTTTGGAAAAAAGAAAATTGACGAGAAGCGGATGAAAATTATAATTTTAAATTTGCTTTTTAAAGCTAACGAGAGAAAATTTGAAACATTAATTAGATGATGCATATTAAGAAAGAAAAATCTCAAATATCTTTTTTTTACAAAAATGTAAGAAGATATATGTCCTAATAAAGTTTATTTTTAAATAACGAAAGAAGAGACAGCTAGTACACAGTTGCTCTTCATCGTCTTCCTCTTGCATGGATAGTCAGATAGAATGGGATGCACGCACACACACACATACACACACATACATTCCCATATAGATAGATATAAACTTAATATTAATTGATGAAAGTAATTGTATTAGTACATGTTTTATCCATTGATTCCTTAGCATTATCATCATTCAAATCATCATCAACAAAGATCTTTAAAATGCTTCTGACGTCATTCTGTTTCCTATGAAAAGGCTGTCAAACAAGCTTTACCAAATTATCTTCAAGTTATAGATACCTCTTCTTTTTTTTTCTTCTGTGAATTGACGTCATTCTTGTGCTTCTCATCTTCTTAACGTCGTCTTCTTCTCCTTCTGAAAATTTATTTGAAACATCATGGAAGCCACTTGAGATGTTTAAGATTTCAAATAATTTTTAACCTCTCTGCCAATGACTAACAGGCTTCTCTTTTTTTAAAAATGTTCAAAGGACAAATGAAGCCATGTATAATTAGAATTTTGTTCAAAATATACTTTCGTACCTAATTCGTACTGCTTTTATCATCCATATCCGCTAGTTAATCATAAAAGAATCTTATTTGATGCAAACAAAAGGAGTAGTTCAATGAAGAAGGCAAAATTCTGAATTAAAAAAGGAAGTCGCGTCAAAGAGAGAGAGGGAGCAAGAGGTTGCAATGAGATGTTAAGAGGGAGAAGAAGGAGACGAAGAAGCAGAAAAAAAGAGAGAAGGAAATACATTTCAATCCAAAAGCATTCTTCTCATACCGTCATCCGATTACGTCCACAATAGAATTTCCTTCTTCTATTTTAATAATACATCCAAAATTAGTTGATGGAAGTCAGTATATAATTACCACATACGTTTTTCTTTTTCTTTTTTTTCTTAGGAATGATCGAAATTCCTTGAAATAACTTTTTGTTTTACGTTTTTCCTTCTTCGTCATCATTCCCGAACCCGTCATCAAATATATTTTTTTTAATTATTAACTATTCAATATTTCAGTAGCTCACCTGAACTACGATCTGGCTGTCCTTTATCCATACGTTATTCCTCAAGTACTACGCTGTTCCGGCTGTCTAGTTGGCTCCCATCGGGTAGTGGCCTTGAAACTCCGCCCATTTTTTAGCCTTATAAGTCGAAGCTACTGCTTCACACCTCTGTATTCTACTGCCCGCCCCAAGAGCTTTCAGGCAACAACCGTCCAGATTTATTGTATTCACTGCAATAAACGAACGTCCAGTTGCTCTGAATATTCTGCTGGTACCTAGAAAGCAACATCAAAAATGAGTTTCCATCATTTTTCTTCCTTTATTATTTCATTTCAACTTGCTCTTGTTGTTCTCATAATTCCTACTTCGTCCATGACAGGCTATGTCGAGCCAGAAGAAAATGAAACGCCTGGTGTCTTTGGATATGAAGATGCTTCGCAAGATGATCATTTTCTTATAAATCCATATCCCCAAGATGCAAACCTTCATGATCAATTCGACGGTGATAAACTTACTGATGAGGAAATAGATAGTGAAGCCCAATTCCTTGCTAAACTTCACAAATATGCTGCTGAAAACGGCCATCTTTATTCTTCTGATGATCAGAGCGTTGACATGAGCCATCATTTCTTTGATCGTGTTCGCCGAAGAAAACAAAGAATTTGTGGAGAAATGATTCTGAAAATTCTAAACCAACGTTGTGGAGGATGCTTCAGACCCGCCGATAGCAAAGTCGTCAAGGTAGACCGTAAACGAGGTAATTCTTGCATTCTTCCCATTCATTAAATTAAAATTTTAAATTACAAATTGCTAATCACCAGCGTAATTCGAGCAAAACTTAATTATTTTGCTTAAAAAGTACTTGAGAAAGAGAATTACGTGTCATTTGACTCAATTCCAATTATTAAAGATCCATGTGAGACTGGATACTACTTCTCTTATTCTAATTATCAATGATCACATCACACATTTCCAACTTGAAAAAAAGCATCAGCGTTCATGGCCAGCAAATCATTTCGAAATAGAATGCAACCGCTCCCCCACACATTTTGATTCGAAAATGAAAAATTTCAAAAAACACATAAAAGGTTACGTGAAGTGTAAACGGTAACTTATGCTAATCTCTCTTAACTTTACGTAGCGAAATGTTCAAAAAACGATTTGCATATGAATAGCTTCACTAAACACCCACCTATAGTACTTCATCAAGAAAACAATTTGCTTACGTTATAGTCTCGCTCTTTCTATCTCTCTCTCTCTCTCTCTTTCTATCTCACCCTATTTCTCTATCTCTGTCTCACTTTTTTTTCTAAAATATTATTCTTCTCGTCATGACAACAATTGAAAAGCTTAGACATACTCTTTTTACTTTTGAAAGTTTGTCCTCTGAATTCCCCTGAGTCCATTCGGGTCATTAATGATCTGTTTTGTATTTCATCTTCGCAAATACAAAACATAAGTTTTCATAATTAAAATAAATTATCATCAAAATATTGAATCTCGGAAAATAATATCGAAAATAGACAGAAGAAACGTTTTTCATTATTTATTATAGATCTTACAGCCAGCAAGCGTCCTTCAATCACGGAAATCTGCTGTCACCAAGCCAACTGTACTGATGAGATCTTACAAGAGTTCTGCTGTGGTGGTCAAAGCTAGACTGATGGTTTTTATGTAAAAAAAACTTTTACAAGACTGATAGACACTGGAAGAAATCAAATAAGCCATGTGCCTTTATAGGTCATATATGCAACATTCAAAAAATGCAATCTTTTGATTAAATTAATCGAAAATTCAAATGTCCTAATCATTTGCATCTTTTGAGCAATCCTAGATTACTTAGACTTTATAAATATTATAATTATTAAGAATACTAATAAGCTGTAAATATTATATATGATATATATAATTAACCTTTAGAATTTACTTTCTCCAGCACATAACCACCTTTCTTTCTGATCTTATCAGTCTCTGTCAAAAGTTTGTGTTTGATTTCATAAAATGACAAAAAAAAACAAAACAATGTGTGTCTCTCCATCTAATACACCTACGGTTCTCCGGAACTGAACTCATTCACTCGTATGTATTCATTTATTATTTGAACTGTTGTTTTCTCTCAGCTTTTCCTTTTCTCCAACAACAAGTAAGCTATGTCGTTTATCCGAAGTGAAGTAGATGAATTACAAAATGATACTTGGATCCTGAACAAAGCAAGCTGTTCCAACACTCTCAACTCTCATCATCTTCTTTCTCTTTTCGCTGTAGACAAAAAAAATCTTCCTTCAACCTAATTATTCTTCTTTACTTCAAGTTGATCACATCCAGTACTTACACAGTTTGCTTTTAGTTCCTCGGCTTCATCTAGACGTTTTGTACATTTTTATTCTGTTGTGTCTCCTATTATGAGATCTTTGTGTTCAATGAGACGAATAAAGTTAATCTTATCTGTTACGTAAGAAGTTATTTCTCAGATTACACATGGCATACCAACACTCACTTTCACATGCATCTCAATAATTTCTTTTTACTATTTATAGAAATGTGTTCTGTTCAATCCATGAGATCGTTTTGTTGGTTATACAGATCAACTATCATACTCTTGTATTCTTAACAAATCTCTGATTGAACTACAACATATGAAAGTTTTCTGATGCTCTATTTGTTTCCGGTTGTACTATGTGCAAGAAGATAATTCCATCAACGGCTGTCAGCGGATCTTCTTCGGTTTTTATTCGAAGGGGATATCCCAAGCGAACTTCTGATGCTTGGACTGGAAGAAAAAAAAACAGAAAACTTTATGTGTCGTCCTCGAAAAGATGAAGCTTTTTACGATGACAATCAAACGTTCAGCTGCACTCCTACTGCTCAACATGGAGAATTAGCTTAATGGTGCTGACCATATTCGTATAAATCCGTGTTAATGCTCTTGTACAACTTTATTTTTGAGATTTTGATGAATAAAGATAATTTTCTGTCTAAGAGAAAGTACAAGCGACAGCTTCTTATTATCAAAGGCATGAATGAGAAGCCTTCTCGATTTGTATTCATAAATTTTAATAACACTTCCATAATTGGTCATCTACGCTGACAACTCTGAACGTCACAAGTTGTTTGAAATTTTGTGAGAAATGCACAATTATCGGGTATTGCTTGAGATCTTTAGTTTTGTTTTCAATTCATCCAACCAGATTTGATAATTTGAGGTAATTCACGTAGGGAGAGAGGATGTTGGTTCAGTTTGCAACTTTCAGGTGATGACAATGTGGGAATCTCTCTCGAAAATTCAGAAATTGAAAGAAAAAAGTAAAACTTTCATGTCTTTTCTTAAACTTTGAGCAAAACACAATCAGCTTTAAACGTGTTGTTCTTTTCATTCTGTCATTACTCTAGTCAAAGGAAGTTTTTCTATCATGGCTTAAACTTCACATTTTGTTGTTTCAGAAATTTAGTAAAATCGCTGAAATAATTAGTGAGAAGGAGAGGGGAGAAGAAAAATGTTTTCAGAAATCCCTTGAGGTGAGCAGACTGCTGCACTGATAACAATGACCAAACACATATACACAAACTTCCATCTATGTTTTTTGGAGCTTAAGCAGAAGGAAATTTCGAAGAAACGTATCACAGAGAAAGAGTTGACTTTTGAGAGAGAAACGTTACTTCCTTGATATGATGTTGAGTTGTTTCTACGGTAACAGCTGATATGTCTCATACTACACAAGCATCCTAAAATTCTCTAAATATCACATTTGTTCACTGTTTCCACGTAGTTCACACAGGTTTGCTCTTTGGTATATCTACTTCATGAAAATGGTTGATTGAGTATCAGTATTCATTATTCACACGGTGTTCATGTAGAAAGCACCCCACGATTCTCAACCAAGTATGGAAGGTAAAATGAGTAGAGGAAATACGTGGTCTCCCCTCGATCTCAACAGATTCCTGTTCACATCAGAGAACAGAGGCGGTAGTTTTTGAATGACCTCTGTAATCAATACAGCTAATCGTAATCTGAAACAAGAGCATGGGAAGACCAAGAAAAGTTGAAGTTAAAGTACTTGTGTCCGGTTTTCTTTTCTACTCACAGAAGTTTCTTCCCATACGGAACTATGCGAGTAAGAGAGCTGAGTGAAACAACAGATACTTCCCAAAAATTTCTCTTCTCAGAACCTCTCTTCAGAAAGACATAATGTATAGCACAGAAAAATCATCAATCTATGTTGAATTGAGTTCAGCTTTCATTCGAATCATTCGTTCATCTATTAATAAGCCTTCTACGTAATTAAGAGCACACATTTCCGTTTTCACCATCGTATTCACTTTCTCGAAGTCGATAATAATTTCATAGTTACTTGTTTATTTGAAAGAGACTAAGAAAACTATAAAAACACTTTTGCGAGCCAACTTGGTTTCAACTCGGAGAAGAGGTACAAATTTTTATAATCGGTTACAGGAACACTGATTGCGGAGATAAATTAAACAACGAGACCATCAAAATAGGAAAAGAATCAAACGTAACAAATCCAACTCAAACAACTTAGCTATTCATCCGTTTCCATTTCTTCAGTTTCCGGTTGGAACCTTGAAAATAAACATTACTTGTTATAGTAATACTTCTGACTTACTCTCCCTCTTTCACCGTGTTCTGTACGAGATCAAGAGCACGATTCCAACCCTTTTCTGGCACTTTTCCTGAGGAAAGGATAGAGTTTAAGTATTCCACTTCTTGAAGAGATTTAGCATTGGCTATAGCATCTTGAATCTTCTTCCGCTCTTCATCAGAGAGATTGATCATCTTGCTTCGTGGAGCTCCATTCTCCTTCTCATTATAATTTTCCTCAACATTAGGAGCAGCGGAACGATTGATAGCACTGAGGTTCTTCTCACCCTTCTTACCCTTAAACAATTTCTTAGCAGCTTGTCTTTCCTGAAATAAGAATGGTGAAATGCAAGGAGAAGAACAAGACAACTCACAGCCAATCGAACTCTTTTGTAGTCGATGACTCGAACTCTGGGCAATTTGTAAATGACATATTCACGATAATTCTGCTTGTGGATTATGGGATTTCCAATAAACCTGAATGGAAAGTCTTGAACAGTCGAAAAAGAGAGGAACTAACGTGACATATTCCAGCTTCGTACACCCTGCTAAAGCATCGATATCTCCTAATTCACACAAATTGTTATTTGTCAAAGCTAACGTTTTCAGATTTGGAATAGATTTTCCTATTTCAGGTTGAATGTACCTGAAAATGCGACAAGTTAAACTAGAGATAGAACCTATGAAACATACTGAACTCGATTGTTGTGCAGGTACAAAGTAGTTAAACGCTTCAAAAGAGGAAAATTATCGAGCTTCTTGATGTCATTATCGGTCAAATCGATAACATCAAATTGATCCTAAATGAAGTTAAGAGCTTTAAATTTAAAAAAATATATAAATTACTCGAGTCACACCCATATTTTCAATAACTGGAAGTTTGCAACCCCTCAAGTTCAGCTCCCTATCCTTGATGGTATTAATGAATTGCTGAGCTTCATCAATCAACTCTGCCGAAAGACGTACCATCTGAAACAATCATAAGTGTAACATACAATAGAATGCATTCTGAAGATATGTAATGCAGTTGGAAACTGCTTCGAATCGAATATGCTTAGAAATTAATAATTTAATTGAATATTTAAATATTTACAATCGAAGCCCATGATTATACAAAAAGCTTCTCGATTAAATTGGCACAAACTTCATACTAAGATTCAATTTGAAGTCAACAGATTAAACTATACAGAGGTGAATAAGTTATGAATAATAGTCATTTTCATACTTAAGAACTAACATAGCTTGGACTTTTTCCAATTTGTAGCGAAATTAACCGCACGCGTATCGCCCGCGACGCGTACAGCTAGCATTTTAGCACATTTACATGATTTGAGCATTGAGATTTCAATAGTATTACATATAATTGTGCTTCTCAGTAGGAATGAAGCGATAACATTCGAACAGAGAGGTGAAAATCAGCCAAGTTTAGCTAACAAGACAATTATCAGAAAAATGCCGCCAAGAACAAGAAGAGGTCCCCACTGTTTCAGGAAGCCTTGAGTTCTAAACAAGAAGGATTACGAGGAGACAGTTTCACGCTTCCGCACCCGATGTATTTCCCATGAACGGTTATATACCAAGCGAGATTGACCATATTCCAATTTGTTTTTCCGTCGTATTTCATATTATTCAAAGCCAATGCCACATGTGAATGGCAATTATCACAGAAGATATTATGCTGCAAGGAAGATAAGTAATTATGACAAAAAAGTTGAGTGAGTCTATATTTTGCAAAAAAAAGTGATCGTATAACCAGGAAGTATGAACGTACCATGTGGGAACGATACTCATCAGAAGCTTCTTTAACAGCTTTATCATAAACTTCATCCCCTCCAATGACTTTCGATACGTCCAATTGCCATGTTTTTGTTGGCCAACCAAAAGTCATCTTATCATCCTAATTATATATCTTTTGTAAAAAAAAGACTTTTAAGAAACGAAGAAAACTTACAGCAACATAATAACTCCCCCCGAAATCTCTTACAACTCCTCTGCTGGTTGAAATACCCAAATGCCCAATTACGGGAAAAAACCAACTTGAAGAAAAGAAATTATTCATTGTTGGCAAAGTAAAAAACAAACGATATCAAAGGTAGAGGAGTCCACACAACACAATATGGATAGCGATGGTTTTTGGCATTGATTTCCAGCGACTTCTCAGAGAATGGTGTTGCGGAATTTTCTATGCTGTTTTCAAACATGTCTGAATTCAGAAGATATAATCTTGAGAAACAACGTTTTTTATGAACTTGGAAACATGAAACGACAAGAGAATTAGCAAAGGCTTCATGCTTTTCACACCCAAGCCATGAAGTCGAGACAAAAGCCCTGCAAATACATGCCTCTGTAAACAGCGTGCGTTGTTGTTACAGTACCTTAACTGAAACGGTTTGTTATTCTGAAATAACTGGCTTATCTATAAATCCTTGTATAAAATCATAATATAAGTTTCCAATTCCACAATTATACTATTTTATTGAAATTTATAATTAGCTCACTGACGTGGTCCGTTTGAGACATTCTGTAGTCGTAATGAGGTTTTTGCAGTCATCGATGACGACTTTTATGTTCTGATTATGGTATGAGAAAATTATAGTTCCAAGATATCTTTTTATAATCAAATTAATTGCAAAGAAATTAAAAATTCATTCGTAAAACAACAATGAGTGAACCAGTTATCACTTAGAAAAAAAAGTTCGATATTAAGCAAGCTAATTGCTAACCCGTTGTAACTTAAATCACACTACATTATTATAGGAAATACACATATTCTCCTCGAGTCTCAAGAGACAGCGTCACTATTTTTAGAACAAAATATAAATATTGCATTTTTTGTGTGAGAAAAGTTAGAATTAAAACCTATTCAATTGATCTACATTGGGAAAGACACTTTCAAGTTTTTCCTTTGAGCAAGCTCATTCAGTACCTGGAAATGTGTTTTTTTATTTTTTCATTCTTATTTACTGTCTTTACCTCGTTAACAGTTTTTCTACTGGTCTCCGGGCACATGTACCAGATTAATACCATGAAAATTGCTGTCGGTACCATAAACATAAGCAGAGATGAGGCCCCAATCTGTAAAAAATTTGCATAAAATGACTTATATCATTACCATCACGTCATTTTTACGCATCGAAGGTTGACAACAAACACGTCATTTTAAATGATATCAAAACAGAGAGCGGTTGCTTCGTGTTCTTCGATGTTTGATACGAGTTTTTTTAATAATGAAATCAATGAGCTTACCACATTTGCTAAAGGATAGAAAGCGAATTCCGCTCCAATTTTCGTTAAAGCTTCAAACATGGCTAAAGTTGACACAGACGATAATAAAAGATTTCGAGGTACAAGCTAGAAAAACGAAATATTGATATCAAATTATCATAGACATACCTCAGCTGAGTAGAACCGAGAAACTGATCCGATTCCACAAGCATTTATCAATAGAAGGACTGACAAACCAACTAATGTTGCAATCTGTATGAGAGAGTACTGTATAACAATAATTTCTTTAATGCTTTACCTTCCATTGTCCGCCCAAATCAATACCTAACATCATGCCGGCAAGACATAAGAATGAAATTATTGTGGAGTATATTAAAAGAGGTCTTCTTCCGATTCTGTCTACAAGAAAGACTGGCACAAGAGTAACTGGCAGCCGAATGAGACCTTGATGGAGTATGATAGACTACAAATCAAAATAATTTACTTACCAACAATGAAAGAGCATAATCTTGCATCTTCGTATGTCCATCCACTCATTCCATGGAGAATGAAGGTACTGTAGGATCTCAGACTACGTGCTCCTGTGAATACATAAGCAATCTGTAATTTCAAGACGATATAGAAATGTATGAACTCTCATCGAAACTACCTTGACCATTACTCCTAACCAAGCAGCATATCGAATAAGCTGGGAAACGGGATCTTTGGAGATCCAAGGCTTGAAAAGAATTGTTGCACCACTATGCTCAACTTGTACTCCAGCCTGTTCAGATATATTTGAGTACACTAACAACAAAATGTTAAATCTTACATTCTTAACTGTTTTCTTGTCTCTTTTCTTAACAGCTTCTTCACAAATTCTCATTTCAGCTTCAACTGACTGATGATCTGATGACACACCATGGTATGAAGCGAGAGCTTTACGTGCCTACAATATAATTCTTTCATTAAATAATATATTTCCTTGTTTACTTTCTCCTCATCCCCAAACTTTTCCATAATGAATTGAGGTGATTCATAAACGAAAATGAACATTCCAAGTGACACGATGACAACAGCCAAGTTAGGTAGGAAAACCAATGGCCATGTATTTTCTGATGAAAAAGGAACACCAATAGCTTGGGTCATAAGAGATCCTGGAAAGGAACATTAGTGTTTGATGAAAAGAGTTGAACACTTGTGATGAAAGCTATTCAGATTTTTTTCTACTAACCTAAAGCCATAAAGAATTCCTGCATAGCTGCCATTCGACCCCGGATCCTGGGTGGTGCGCACTCGACAATCCATACAGTAGCATTTACAGTATTAATACCGTTGGCCATAGACCTATGAAGTAGAAATTTGAATATGTGCAACTGATACAATAATCACCATATAATTCTTCCGACGAAAAGAAGTTCAAAATAATTTCCTGTCCATTTGGAAGCACAACATATTAATGTTCCAGGAATATATAAAGCTGAAGCGATCAGCGCTGTTTTCTTTCTTCCAAGTGTTTTACACATATAAGCAGCAAGAAATTGACCTGAAGTTGAACTGATCAGGCTTGTTTTGCCTTCGAACATACCAAATATAGTAGCAATCGGGAAGGTCACATTAAGTAATGACCAGAGAAAGTCCTAAAAATAACACAGTAATACTTGTTTCAAGATGGGCAACTGACAATTGTGCGATCAGAGAGAGGATTTCCAGTTCTTTCAATCCAAGACTCATTCATATATCGTTCAATTTGGATATAAGGTTGGTTCAGGACAGAAGCAATGTAACCTTGTTGAAAACCTGATGACATGCAGAGGGCTATTGATAGCACATGAATAGATATGGAAGGCATTTCTGAAATGAATTGTTTTAGCAAAACAACGAAAAGAAATGATTGTCCAGATGAAAGAGGCATGTCAAGACATCAAATTGTAAAACATCAACGTCATCTTTCTATTAAGTTAAATAAATCTTTAGTTTTTCATTAACTATCTTATATCATTGAAAATATGATACAAAAAACAGGTTAAGAGCTGCTTTTCGTGGACATGTTTTACAGAAATGGACGAAGAGTGTAAGTGCATGAACTGGAAATTATTATTTTTGGCTCATCGTATGGACAACATAGATGTTATAAGAAATGTATTGAAGAGTTGAGTATTTATACTCAGTTGTTATTTAACAAGATAATTATAGGATTAAATAGTATGAGAAAAGACCATTCATATGATGAATCATTCGCATTATAGTGAGTTAGTATAATGAAACTGTACGAGACAGTAGAGGAAGCAAGCTTTCTCATGAGAAATTATATTCAAAAAGCTATTTGACTGAAGTCAGATCTGTGCAATTTCATGTAGAAGAGCTTCCTCTTTTGGATTTGACGAGAGAATCACGAGAAGTTCATATTTGTTTTAAATCATCTTTTTGGTTTTATTCTGATCGAGTTTTCACATTAAGACAAATAAATTAAATGACGTTCACATATCTTTGTCTTCTTATTTAAAAAATAAAAAAAATGAATGTAGAAGAATGTAAAGAAGGCAATTGAAGTTGCTTTTCTATAGTGCAGGTCATTGATGGCCATTTGTGTTGAAAGTTAAAGACAAACTTCTATTGACACATCACGAAAGCAAAACAAATGGGTGAAGAAGGGAATTTTTCGTTTAAAAAGCAGCAAGTTTTGGTCAAATGATCTTCATTGAAAAATGGTATTTGGGAAATCGCTGGTGTTCTTGATTTTTGTTTCCTTAACTTCCATTAATGGTTATCATGTGATGAGGAGTTGTATACTCGTTATTTTCAAAAGTTTTTTCACCACATTTCAATTTTAACGTAATTATGATTCCTCAGAAGGGATGTGTAACAAGATGAGAGAGCAAACGTTGGAGAGGTTGAGAGACATTTTAAAACTGTAAAAAAAGATAGAGCAATAACATAGAGGAGTGTAGAGAACTATGGGAGGAGAATATCTTTTAAGGTCATGAATATGATTATATATTCTGATATGAGATGTCTATTATGATCTTTATAAAGCATGATGTTTCTCATAACTATCTTATCAACCAGGTCACAGTGAAATTTCCTAAACAAGAGAATGAAAGGTCAAAGCCGGTCCGTCGATGATGTCGACTGGAGCTGGGCACTGATAACAATGTGGATGAACTTATTCGGAAGCAAAACAAGAAGTTAGTTTGAATATTTATGTTTACAACCCTTTTAGCTTAAATACTTGTATACGAAGGAGTAATGAGGGAATGTGTCAAACGTATATATGCTTTCGAAGGGTATTACTTTCATTATAATGATATGAATGAATCAGATAAGAAAGATAAAAAGGGAAATATTTGAATAATCCTTCATATAAGCAAACAGTCTGTCGTAACTTTCGGGGAAAGAATTGAGCAGGAGCTTTCCAAATAGGGAAGCCACAACTGATTGCACTCATCGGTCAAAAAATCAGATTTGGTTCGGAACACTAGCGTCTTAGTTGAATATAAGCAACATTGTGCTGAATACTTGACTGTGAACAAAAAGAGAGAGAAGAGAATAGAAACAAGAAGAGAGTGATAATGAGAAAGAAAAAGGAGAAGAGAAAGAAGTTTCCTCCAGGGTAGCATCTGTTCTTTGATGTTATTTTCTAAAATTTCAATAAACGCCTGCATAACCTACACCTTAAAAACTGATTTCAAATGAGAAAACGAGAATATTCCTCATTTGAGCACTAAAAGGATGATAGAATGGTTCACTCAGAGTGAGCCGTCTCGGAACAGTCTTCCATATCCCTTATATAGAGAAACAAGATACGGAGGTGTCCCTAATGCCTTGTGTGATTCATTTAATCCAACTGCGTGCATAATAGACTGTAAGATCACACAATGACCAAATTAAGTTTGCACGTTTTATTTTTAACTATTAAACAGTCTAGTTAACTTTTCAATGTAATACATAGTAGATACTCCTAATGGTATAGTTAATGACTCACTACCGTATCCGAAAGCTTACTGATGACGTCGACAGGAAAACATGGATGGTTACGAATTTTCAAAATACCAACAGATTTCAAAAAGAAAAACATCCGTTTAATAAAGTTTTTTGAAAAATCGAACGATTGTTTTTCTTCAGAAATCTCACAAAGCTCGACCTTGGTCGGTGTAATAAGTGAGATCCCGCATTCTGTCATCCTAGATAACTTTGACAACTGCTATGCTTGTTCAATCATCAAATTGTTTTTCACTTAACTTCAATGAACTTGTGACCGCACAGAAGAAATCGAGTGAACTTTTTGAGTTTCTTATACGCCATCGATTGATCGGACTATTCGTTTAACTCATTCCGTTTATCCCTCGTTTCCGTACAACAACCGTATGCTTTTATGTTCTTTCAACCCATTTGGGGTTGGCGTGAAGTCAACTAGTTCTTTCGAATGCATAGATTGCCGTTTGGTTTTCTGACATAATATAGTAAGAATGCTTCAAAAATTGCTTTATTTTTTCTCAATCCCTGTTATAGAAGGTGAGTAATAGTAATTCAAAATACTTCTCACTACCACCTCGAATGTCTAGTCTATATGCTCATACTCTTGTGTTTCGTGTTTCATCTCGTTTCTTTAATTCTCTCGAGGTTCTTGATTTCGCTTTTTAATTGTCATACTATTTGGCTCGAGAAACTGATTTGTCGTGATACCGTAAGATCAGAGCGTTTGCCTGTACTGTCATGAAGAAGTGAATACGAAGAGACCAAGTTTTATTTTGCTTCGACCAGTATACTAAGAATCAATCACAGTTTCGGAATGTTTGTGCTTCCAGATCTAACTAACGAAGAAATTAGAAGAGTCCAATAGAAGTCTATCAACATGAAGCTACTTCTATTCTTCATAGAGGTAGAATAATCACTAAAAAACCTTTGAGTATCGACTTTGCAACAGTTTAACTAGCTAACCTTTGTTGCGAAAAGAATTTTACTATTTTGCAAATTAGTCACATGGTTTTGTCTAGTTAATTATGAATTCTGTTTACGTTCAGATGATGAAACTAATCATAAAATCCTTTTTCAAATAATTCAACTAAGTAACAGGGACTATGTTAGTAGACACAGTACGAGCAACATGGCAGAGAAAACAGAGCATAATGTACAAAGCATACAAGAGTACAGTATAATCACTTATGGAAGCACGGCAAACTGAGCAGAGGCGTTTTTGAAAAAGAGCACGGAACAAGGATTATATCAAAGCTGGACAGGCTTGTTCCGCCATTTAAACTTCTACAGTAACCTGAAAAACTGCTAGAGACCTCCTTTTCCCGTTTTCCTGCATGTTGATATTTCCGGCCCAGGGACTCGGAACTATAAAATTTCTATTTTGCATTGGAAACGATTCGTTGTTTGAACATTACTGTCTCTAATTTGAGCCCATGTATTCTCATCTCTTTCTGGGAAATCTTTGTATTGTAAGTCTATGAGGAAGCCGAAAACCTGATACATACATGTAAGCAGTGCTTTACGATGATGCTTGATGCCGATGAAATTTCTTTGAGTAACTCCATGAATAAGAAGTAAAGGGAGTTAGAGAATTATGAATGTTGGTTACAATGTAATTATCATATCCTTAATTAGTATGTAAAGCATTGCTTCTGTTGAAATTGGAGCCAGAAAAAAAAAGAAATGACAGACTCTTTCAAGTTTCATTGCAACCACAGACATATGCACAAGTTAGCGGTCGGTCGTTTTTGATCCCTGAAATGGAGATTGTTCCGGGAAAATAAAGGAAGCACAAGATTGAATGTAGATATAGAAGACATAATTAAAAGATTTCGTCTGATATATTATTGCAATTCATGATAGTGAATGATGTTTTCTGATAAGAACACCTATCTCTACGTCGCAGTTCCTTTATCTGAGTTCATTGTGGCCTACGTTGTGCTCGCGAAAACTGAAAAGTAGAGGATTTCTCATTGTAAACAGAAGAGAACATCTGAAATCGGAAATAAATACTTTTTTGGACTTATGCTAATTTCCATATTAGATAAGACTTGTTTGAATTTCATTCTTTCATTTCATTAACATTGACCGTAAGAGTAAGAATAACTTTCATTTCCAGATATGAGAAAGTTTGAGCACATCTGATAACTTTGATCCTGTTTCTATTTCCTTTTTTGAACAGTTTTTACTCCACTTTTTGATAATCGTGCAATGATTTCAACCTTGCTATCTGTCTTCTAAGCGCTTCATCCTAGTCTTACGGTCTTCACTTCCTCTATAAATAGTGATAAGAACACGAGACTAATTATCTGATTTAGTAGTCGTCTCCTGTCTTCATTTTCAATTTTCGAATCTTACAAGCTCGTTTCCGTTACGTTTTCTATAAAAATGTTCATTTTTGTTCATTGAATCATTGCTTCCGCCTTTCACTCCAAATAGTTTGCATTGTTTCCAGGCAAGATGGTTATCAAATCTCCATACACCTCCGTACCTGAGCCCACACTCCCTTTCCATGAAATTGTCCTCGAAAGAGTGAGAAGACATGCTTTAGAAGGCAAAAACAAAATCGCTTTCGTAAGTCTTCTAACGCATTTGGAACAAATATATTAATACTTCTAGATTGATGGTCATAACTCGCGAGATCAACTCACTTATAAGCAACTCTATGAATATTCTCTTTCTTTGGCTACTTTTCTGCGTCAGCAAGGATTCGAAGTATAACATACAGTAAAAGAAGTCTTGTGAATTGGCTCTCAATTACAGAAAGACGTATGCTGCTTTGTTCTACCAAATATGTGGCAATATGCCGTCGGCTTCCTCGGAGTAACCAGGGCCGGTGGTGTTGTTTCTGGGGCTAGTGCTCTATTTACCGATCGTAAAACACATTCTTGAAAAAATTGTACAATATTTGATTCCAGATGAGCTTCAACGTCAATTTGTAGACTCTAGAGCCAAAGCAGTGTTCACCACCGAAGCTTTGCTTCCCAAAGTTCTTAAAGCAGTTAAGGAGAGTCCAAACGTTAAGGTTCTTTCATCATCTTTATCAAACTGTTGATCAATCTGAACCTTGTAGACAATCATTGTTGTACCCAAGCCCAAAGACTCAAGTTTGCCCTCTGAGGTTTTCAACTTCAATGATATCATCAAGAAGCCGGCTGATCCTAATCTCCCAAAGTCGAAGATTGACATCAAAAAAGATTTAGTTATGCTTCCTTACTCTAGGTACTTGCTCAAAACATATATCTTTCACATTTTTCTTTTAGCGGTACCACCGGACCTCCAAAAGGAGTGATGCTCACTCATCTCAATTATTCAATGATGCTCAACATTTATACTTCGTAAGCTTTTCTAAGTTTCAAAGTTATCAAGAAGCATAGCAACTTATCTTCATATTATTTACTTTTCCTTATCTTTTTTTTCTATTTTCTCGTGATTACATCAAGTACATTGCAACCATTTTCTCTCCTTACAAGCTTTTTTTGAATTTTACATCATTCAGCCACGACGCTAAGTACAACACACCAATTTTGGATTCCAACTGGGACTATGAAAGAGAAACTTTCATTCTTCTTCTTCCATTTTATCATGTCTACGGATTTGGTAACGAAAAGTAAAGTGTTTGAATTAATTATAAGATAATACAGGTCTCTTGACTGTAAATTTACTTATGGGAAGTTGTGGAATCATCTTCAGTCATTTCGACCCAGTATCTTTCTGTACTGCAATTCAAGACCACAGAGTACATCATTGTCTTTTTTCTTTTTTTCAATTATTCCTTGCAGGTTCGCATGCTCCCATTAGTGCCACCCATTATGGTATTCTTGGCCAAAAGCCCATTATGCAACAATTATGACTTATCATCCGTGGAGTTTGTGATTTGTGGTGCAGCACCAGCTGGAAGAGATCTTTGTGAAGAGCTTTCCGCTAAATACAAGAACATAAAATATATTCAACAAGGTTTCTTATGACTTTCATGATCATATACTGTGATCTTCCTAGGCTATGGAATGACAGAAAGCTCCATGGCTTCTCATATACCTGATCTGAAAGGCGGACAACCCTTCGGTAGTGTCGGAAAATTAGCTTCAAATCTGGAGATGAAGGTAAAAAAAGAAAATTTAACCATTCACTATGAGTTTAGATCACAAATGTGGAATCTGGAAAAGAAGTGAAGTTAGGAGAGAGGGGAGAAATTTGTATACGAGGACCTACTGTGATGGCTGGTTACCTAGGACGCCCTGATGCTACCAAGAGTACTGTTATTGACAATTGGCTTCACACAGGTATATTTAATAAGAAATTAGTTCTCAATAAGATTATACTCATAGGTGATATTGGCTACGTTGATAACGATGGTAATCTCTTCATCGTTGATAGACTGAAAGAACTGATTAAAGTGAAAGGCCTCCAAGTGAGCGAAACACACTATTAGCTCTAGATCATGCAATGAATAATAGGTTGCTCCAGCAGAGTTGGAAGATCTTCTTTTGTCCCATCCAAGAATTCGTGATGCCGCTGTAATCGGCGTGCCTGATGCTAAAGCTGGAGAACTCCCAAGAGCTTACGTTGTAAGAGCTGATGATAAACTAACACAAGATGAAGTGAAAGAATTCGTTAAAAGTAAGATTTCGGAATTTACTGATACTCAAAAATTCTCTGTTTCTTAGGTAAAGTGTCTCATTATAAACAGCTGGCTGGAGGAGTAGAGTTCCTTGACGAAATTCCAAAGTCAGCAGCTGGAAAGATTTTGCGCCGATTGCTCAAAGATAAGGCCGTAAAATCAAAATTGTAATTACTGTTATGATTATTCGAGAAAGCAAACTCTTATTGTGCAAAAAAAACTATTAATAATAAATTTGTTCGAAACTAATTTGATTGCTCTTGTATCATTGCCAACTTCCGCGAGATCTAACATTCCATCTTCAAGAAGGAAATGCTGCGTCATTACTGTTTTGGACTTACCCAGCTTTATAATTCATTTAAACTGAAATTTTTGTGAGATCATCTTTATGACCTCCCAATGAATAATCTCGGATGATATGATCTCACGACATAGCTCTCTCTATATATACTGCAGCGAATAATAATGCAAAGGTGCTCCATCGTCAATCCCTCTATTCCACTTTGTTACGGTGGTTTCTAATTTGAACAGTTCATGTTTGATGTAAATTAATTAGTTTTTTTATTGATTCAATTACCCAGTTAATATAATCTCTTCATTTGTTCATTTTTCTCAACAACACGCATACACGATTCTACATTTCAATGTTGTTTGGGCTATCAAGTTGTTCTTCAATATTGCTCTCCTGTATTAGATCCTTCCAATGTCGCCTTTTGATTGATTGTATAATAGCTTGCGAGATACTCATGTTTAATTCAGTTGGGACAGTGAGATCTATATAATTCTTATATTAGCTATTATTGGAATGACTTCTGGCTCTGTAAATCTCTGAGTTTATTAGGATTATGAAGTGTGCCAGTTGTAGTGAATATTGTTATTCTTCTTTTTGGCATCATTTCATAATATTGTGTTTTTTTTTTACTTGAAAGATACGTTTATGTTATCTTTGTCAGATTATTCCTTGCTCTTGTTTTAAAAGTAAGTTAAGTGGCTCGGTGAATCATCTACGCGATGCATGTTGTTACCTTTGAACTACGAATGATTCTAGATGCGAAAATATCTTTTTCTTATTCAGTTTTTCCATTTAAAAAAAAACAATGATCTTGCTCATGATCGCTGAAAAGTTCATTTGCATTGCTGAAGTCATGCAAGTTTACAGTTGCTCGCAATGACGACAATCAAACTGACAAAATAAAAATGGTGACACATTCCGTTTTTTTGAGAAAAAAGTAATTTTCGGTTGAGCATCAGTTTCATTCCTCGGTCGGAGGTTTCAGAATGACTGGTCGTGCCGTGTGCATATACACGTACGCTTGATTTGGAGCAGCTTTGATTCTAACTATATCAAATCTTGACATGTTTTCTTGCCTTCTCTTTTATTTCACTTTAAACATCTGCTTCTAGTTATCATTATTAGCTGTTTGTTTCGTCCTTTCTGTATTAGAATAAGGGTGTTGAACGTTCTTGCTCTATCTGTACCGCATATGATGTCCTAATTGTCTCAGTCGTGTGTTCGGTTGAAGAGTGGTTGTGTGAGTTGTTAGTGTCTGTAGGATTCACAGTATTTTTTCACCCGTCATGTGTCTAAGTTTCGAGTTTGACAACAATTTTATTACGTTTGCTTTGATTAACCTTCGACTGTTCGGTTCGTGCTCGGATCTACTGCTCATCTTTTCTGATTAAGAACAGCTCAGATAGCTACTGTTCATGAAAGGTTGAGGTTTGGGAACTCACACTGCTGTACTCACTGTGCCAAACACCAAAAACACGGAATGACATCGTTCTAGAAATTCAGACATTGAAATAACATGAATGTGAGATATAGGACTCTGCCTTTTTCTGAATAAAAAAAATTTTTCGGCAAAAACTAACTAAATAAGTTTTTTTTTTCGACCATCTGAAGTTTGTATGGGGCGGGTGAAGCATTTGTTATTCTTCTTTCCTATTATTGTTTCTATGTTTTCTTATTTTTATAATTGATTAACCTTCCATAAAACTGTTTCATAAATAATTAAAAGATCTTTTTAATCAATAATGTACTGTTGTTCGCTGTTCCCAACTCTTAGGAGAAATAGGTGATCCATGAAGTTTCGTCGACTGCATTCGTTCTACCTGTAACCTGTACCGGCATTTTTTCCTGCATACCTGTAGTTTCACTTTGTTTTTGAAGAAAATTTGACTCTAAACTTCCTTAAAACCCTTTTAACTATGATTTGAAGGCTCTAAATAGAATAAAACGTTATTATACCATATATGCACGAACTACAAAACGTACGATGTACGGGGCGGAAGTCTATATGTACGTCAGGTTTCACGTGATTAATAGGCCCGACGGGTCACCTCCCAGGCGGGAGGCGAATCTATGACACTCGTAATCGCATTTTTTTGAATTTTCCAGCTTTCCCTCCTTCAAAATTTCGTGTCAGGGCCAATAAAAATTCAAAAGTTCGATGTTTTTTTCATTTTTTTGCAACTTTATTTGTTTTTTTTTTATTTCTGTATAATTTATGTGTTTTGACATTTTCCTTCTTTTTTGTCTTTTTTTTCATGGAAATGGAAGCATAGATGTTCACATTCTCCTAGTCTGCGTGATTATTCCAATTTTGATTGTAAAAACACTTCTCAAACATGAGATTTGAGACAGAATAGTTTATAGCACCACTTAGCACTTTAGAATTTATGAAGATCAAGATTGAAACAAGGAATTGATCTCTTTTCGTGTGACTGATACTTGGGCTGAATTCATGCGAAGTTGGAAAAATGCTCCTCTGGTTTCATGACAGAGAGATGTGTTTTTTGTGATTTCCCTCCTCTAGATGTATTAGGGAACATCGATACGTTCACACTATCTATTGAGTAGATTCCTTAGTCTTTTTCGTTCTCTGTAGTTTCGTCTCCGCCGTTGGATGATTTTTCTGAAAGGTTCAACCTTTCGTTGTTTTTCGTTTTCTTCTACTTTCATCGTTATCGATTGGTTGTCGTACCTCATACTCGATTACCCTCCTTTCCCTCCATTTCCTTCTTCTTTCTCCCTGTGAAGCTATTATTTCTTCGAATATTATCGAGTTTCTGTTTGGAGGTTTTCATTTGAGCGTTTTCTTCGAATGACTCTTCCTTGGTTATGACTATGTGGAGAATGCTCTGCTCGGATTCCTTGTTCTTCTTTGTTCGTTCTTGTTCTAAGAAACGATTTGATCGATTTAAATCCTCTCTCTTCTATGACTCTTCTATGTTCACAAATGTCATAACTTGAAACTCTACTGGCGTTTTTCATTTTTAATGTGATCTGCGCAGTGAGCGGTGTGAGGCATTTTATCATTGAGATGAAAGTTATGAATAAATAGAAGCTGCGGCTGAATGTTTGAATGAAAGATACATCTGGATCATCTACTGATTGAATTTCTTGCTCTCTCTTGAGTGAGTTTCGTTTCCACCACTTGTGCTTGTAGGTTCCTTTGAAGTTATTTTCTTTCCGTACTGCTGTGTTGCTGTAGCTCGTTATCCATTTTTGAAAATATCACTTTGGAGAGAGGTAGTGCTGGTTGTTTGTGATAATTGAGAAAGCGATTGAGAGAGATCTCTTACTGTTTCTAGTTGTTCCTTTGAGTTGTCTCTTTAGCAATTTATCTGGCTTTTCGAACTTGCGTTGTGAGTTTCTATCCTGACTGTGTAATCTGATCATCCTCCTTGTTTGTTTCGAATTTCGAGATAGGCAGTCGAGTACTGTTATAAACTCGTGGATGTCCATATTGATCATCCGTATAATGGGATATGATCTAAGAACTCTTCTATTGTTTTGTGTGCTAGTTGTAAAGCGATAGCTTGTTTTTGAACCTGTAAACTCTTCATTGGAAAATGTAACCCGCTAATCTCACGAAACCTATTTCTGAGTTTTTGTTTCGGGAAAATCTCGTTGTATGTGTGTGCATTACGGGCGCAACGATTATTCAGTTCAGATTTTTCGCATTTGCAGCTGAGAGGGGTTGATGA